GACTTGGGAAAATTCATCAACGTACATGAACTTTTAGATTCCTTGTTGGAAAAAATGGTTATTAATCATTATTCTGCCTACCACACAGTATGAGTATTTTGAAAACTATAAAATATTGTATATGGTAGAAGTTTGTCAGTGTTAGTAAATGATACTGATCAAATGATGCTCATAAAACATATCTCTATTTGTTTATATCTATTTAAAATCTTTAATATGGAGCATCATATAGACAAATATTGTGTATTGATCTTTATGACATTACAGGATGGGTCAGAATCTTCTCAATGCTCTGATAAGAAGAGTAGCAAATGAGGGTGCCACATGCCTCAACTAGTAGTTATTTGGTGATTTAGAAGCATAGGTGCATTAGACTTCAGTATTCCATTTTATTGCAAATAAGACTTTTCCTAACCTCCTGAGACTTACTGTGCTTGAAAGTGGAATTGCCCAAGGGATAAAGTCAAAACATGAATTTTAGCAGTCAACAGATGCTAAGAACTGAGATTAAGAACCTAAAAACACATCCTCAGCTATTCCATGTAATAGTATTTTACATAGAAAGATTATCATTTGTATTTTACAAATGATGAAAATGAGGCTCGATGGGATTAAATGACTTTCCTAAGGTCACATAATTGATCAATGTTAGAGCTGGAACAAGAATCAAGGATATCAGACTCCTAGTCTTGTATTTTCATCTCATGCTATAAACTCATGAGCCACTGAGCTTGGTTTACTTTCAAATAATCACAGTTATTCATTTGTTAATTCCCTGTGACAATTTTGGACAGAACTATACATATCTAAGTATATTATTTTGTTTAAGCAACACTTCTGGATGCCTTCTAAAAACTGTATTCTAATCATCATCAAAACCATTGTGATTATTGTCATTATCAGTGAATGTATGAGGATACAATGATGGTCTAATACAGATGCTGTCCCTGTCCGTTATAAAGCTCATTATTTAAGCAATTAATCATACACATGTATACATGCTATGGTAGTGATAAGCTCTTTGACTCAGGTCTGCCAAGCACTAAGGAAGACTATAATAAGGAGAGTTGACAGGCCAGGGAAGACCTTCTTGAGGAAATAACATTTGGGCAGAGATTTGAAAAATAAGTTGATATTAACAAGACAAAATGGGAAGGATAGGCATTCCTTGGGATTAAGCAATATAGCAAGCATGAGGGACTAAAAAGACACTAATATAGCTATAAGGGAAGAAATGAGATAAGTAGGGGACAAGATGGACAGTGTAGGCATGGGCCAGACCATCCAAAACTTTTAGGTCATGTTAGGTATTTTTTCTGTTCTACTCAAAGATCAATAGAAAATCATAGTGTCACTCAGCGGGAATGATATAACCAGATTTTGATTTTTAAAACAACCACTCTGGCTAGAGTGTATAGAATGAGGTGGAGGAGAATGAGCTGTTGGTCCAGAGAGACTAGTAAAGTAACTATTACTACAATACAAAGAAGAGAAAAGGAATGCTCAACTGGGGCTGTGGAGGTTGAGATGGAGAGAAGTGGATGGATTTTTGGAAATATTTGAGGGATAAAATTCAATAGGGCTTGGTGAAGAACTAAATATGGTATATGATGGAGAGGGAATCTTAGAGATGATGCCTTGGCTTTTGGTTGGCAACAATGAAACAAGCACAATAGAATAGGAATGGATTTAAAGGAAGTATTAAATGTTTGGTTTTGACATGGGGAATTTGAGAAGCCTTTGAGACATCCAGCAGGAATTGTTTAGGAAGCAGTTGGATGTACAAGTCTGGATAGAACTTGTACATATATATATATATTTATATATTTGTCCACCATCTGTGTAAGAAGGTAATGGAAGGTATGAATGTGCAAAATATTGTCTAAGAGAGCATAGTATAAGAAGAGAGAACCTAGAATATAGCCTTTAGGAAATCTCACTTTTATAAGCCAGGTAGAGAAGGATATGCCTGCCAAAAAGACAAAATAGGAGGCAAGGCAGGAGTACACTGTATCACGAAGTCAAGGGAGGAAGGTGCTTCAAGAGAGCAGACTGGAGGTGGCTAAGGACAGAGAAGAAGGGGAGTTGCTAATCAACAGGTATAAAGTTTCAGTGATACAAGATGAATAAGCTCTAGTGTGCCCACAGTTAACAATACTGTAATGTACACTTAAAAATCTGTTGAGAGAATAGATCTCATGTTAAGTGTTGTTACCACAATAAAATAAAAATAACTTTAAAAAGAAGGGAAAAGAGACAAATAATGTTCAGGACCACAGAAATGTCAAGTTAAGAGGACAACAGAAAAATATCCTTTGGCCTTAGTTACAAGGAATGCATTGGAAGACTTAGTGAGAGCTGTTTCTATGGATTGACGGAGCTGGAATCCAAATTGAAAAGAGATGAAAAGTAAAATGGGGAGGCTAGACTAGACTCTCTTTAAAGTCCCTTCCAACTTTAAAATAGTAAATTCTGTGATTTCAGAGCTGGCCAGAGCCTCTTTGTCACAGGTTCCCCTACTCCCCGTACTCCCAGTTAATAAAAAGACTCTGCCATTGAAAGAAATGATTTGCAAGACTGTATTGCTTTAAGCGTCATTACAACCTCAAAGAAACGTGGGACAAATCATTCTCTTCTATGTTTACATATATGTTTTTCTTTTGAAAAGAATCTTGAGCATAAAAAAGTTCTTATATGATTTTTCCATAGCATCAATTGAAGAAATATATTTCCAAGAATTGGTTTTTATTTTTGGGTCAGGTCTGTAGGGATAAAATCAGGTCTAGAGTTTCGATGTAGATGAATTTGGAAGTGAACACATTCAAAGTTGCAGTCCCAGGATGTCTCTCACACTACACTATACTATTTTCCTTTTTTATTGAATCACCTTTTCTGGGCTTTGAGAGCTAAAAGAACACATCCAAAAAATTAATTGATTTTGTATGTAAGCAGAATGCTTGGGCACTTGCTGCTTTTCATCTAAAGAGAGGTTCCTATGCTCTCAATGTCTTGGTAGGACAGGAATTTGATTAACAGGTCATATAGACCATTGCTACTCAAAGTGGGATCAGTGGATCAGCAGCATCAACCTCAGCTAGGAATTTGTTAGAAATGCAGAATCTAAGGCACCACCTCAGATCTACTAGATCAGAATACGCAGTTTAACAGGATCTCAGGTGATTCATATTAACACTAAAAGGCGATAAGAATTTGTAATTTTTTTCTCAGAATCTACTTTTTAAAAATACAGAATCCTTTGTTACTCTGCTATGATATTTAATTAATCCAAGGGCAGATTAGTCATTTATGGACTAAAAACTAATCATTTTGTTTTAAAATTAAGGCCTGCAGTAGAGTGCCAAGGTGACTAACAAGATATATTTTACAGGCAAATAGTAGGTTACTCACCCAACTCATGGAAGAACATGTATTTTGCATTTCCCCTAACCAGAAGCTGCTAATTACTTGCATTTCTTTTCCTCTTTTAGTAATAATAATATTTGTAAATTTACTTTGAAATAGCAAGATTACCTGTCATGCTTTTGTATAGGATTTATAAACTTTCACTATTTTCTGTCTCCTTAGCCAGTTTAGAAGAACATCCACACTTTGTTGCATGGCCCTCCCTGGTGATTAACAACTGGAATGGACAGATGAAAACTCAACCCTAAGTCTCACCCTTTCTTTCTCCGTTTCTTACGGAGAAGCCCTACTCTAACCTTTAATCAGGGCAGAAAAAGATTGCTAGTGCCCCCTGCTGGCCTATTATTGTATTTTTCCTCCTCTACAAATTGTCTTAAACAGGAGGATGCCCAAGGATTCTAAGCCACTGAAGAAAGCTCAGCGGAAGGGACTTTCCCTAGTAGAGAGGTAGCGATCCTTTGGGAACAGGCGGCTAAAATCAAACGAAAACACTCAAGGGGCGAGGAAGGCATAAAGGGCTTCTAAATTAAATTATTGATCCTTATGAACCTTTTTCTGCACACGGACTTCTCTATGCCAAGAAAACGTCCCCTCCTTTTCAGCACAGGACTCCTCTTTTGCCTCTAGGTTCCACTGACAAGGAGTGAACTATCCACTCCTCTATTATAATTTCCGTACTCCAGATTCTGTTTTCTGCTTCCCCCAATTTCCCTTTCCCACTCCTTGGCCGTATTCCCTTTTCTGCTTCAAACTCCCATCCCGCCTACCCACGGACAGACTGGCATTTCTAGGGGTCAGACCTTAATCTCCTTCACCCTCTCCGTCTACCCTGACCTCTGCTCTCCCCTGATCGTCATCGCACTCCTCTTTCGCACCCTTTCGCTGAACAGTAAGACACTCTTTGCTTTGAACATCAGGCTTGTCCCCTCTTGAATGCCTCTTCCCGACCCCCGCCCCAAGCGACTGAAAAAGGAAACATGCGCACTTCAGAGCTAGGAGCTGTCCGAGTGCTGAAATTTATAGGCTGGGTAAGATCACGTCTCCGTCTCTTTCTGTAGCTCTCATTCCAGCACAGGATCTCAGCAATTTTGCCCTCTTTCCCCGTGCCCACTCCAGCGCGCAGAGTCCTTTCTTCTCTCTCATTTACAACTTCTTTTGAAAAGAGAACATTTTCTAGAGAAAAGAGATTTGCTAAGCAGAAAGGACATAAAACAAAAGCCACAGCAACCTGACTTCCAGCATGGCATTGTCACCAGCCCCCTTGGCATGGTGATACGATTAAGGTAGCGGCATTTTTATTATTCAGGAAAAGCAGCTGGGGAATCCATCAGTTCTAAGGCTTTGTCTTTCCTTGGTTAACTGATGGTCCTGAGCCCTGGTTTGACTTGACCATGATGCCTAGGACGGGCACTTTTTGTTTTTTCTCAGCAAACTGTACAAACCCAAATCTCTTTTTGATTTTCAAGGAAACTAGATTCCTGCCAGATTTCGAATCCGGACAATAAATAGATACTTTGTCCTAGCTTCTTTCTGGAATCATTTCGGGGATATTTTCCACAAGCATCACAGAAACAGGAATGAACCGGCAGCTAGTGAACATTTTGACAGCCTTGTTTGCATTTTTCTTAGAGACAAACCACTTCAGGTAGGTGAAACGACTTTGCATGCTGATATTTTCCCCATGAAAACTGTTTGAAAGAGAACGTGTCATACATTTTTATCTATTTTTCTATGCCCTGGACCATATTTTTTTTAATTTTATAGAGGAGAGTTAGATTTCTTTTGTTCTTTTAAAAGGCGTAATTATGGTGGGAGGGTGGTAAATTTTCACAAAGGCAAGTTTTATGATCCATAACCTCACTCTTATGCATTGCAACACATTTTCACAGGCAACGTGATATTAAGGAAGTCTAATGAGTTGCATGCTCTTTACATTTCTATATAATGATGATTTTTTTTTGCTTTTAAATTCTTCTGAAAGTCATTTAAAATGATTATTAGATGTAATGCTTATCATATAGTGGAAGTGATTTGATTAATTTACAAGGAGCATGCACATTTTATATAAAATAGAAAAGAATCCTAATTCTCAGTCAACTTGAAACTTCTATTGTATTTCAGCAACTAGATGCATACTATGAGCACTACAATTCAGGAAATTTCTTGAAACATCAAAAATATTTAAAACCTCATTTTACCACTATATTCCACTGCTCAGTATATTTGGAAACTGAATGCCTACTAAAATTTAATTAATATGACATCTTTGTATTTATGTATGCATGAGAAATGGACTATGCATAATTAAAAAGAGTGGGAAATCATTATTTGCATGTGTGCATTTTCTACCTAGTTTATAAATTATCAAATCAGTTGATACTTCAGAATATCAGATGATTACCAGTAACTGAAATAGCCATTCTAATGGCAGAGGTTCTAAGACAGCAGAGAGACAGGAGATGTTCATACAATAAAGTGTAGAACTCTTCATTTAATTTTCACCAAATTTTTATGGTATTTTTTCACAGAACCAAGAGAAATGAAACATATAGCTACTGTTATGAGTACTGGGAAAACCCACTATGTTCCTTTCAGGTTCACACCTACTATGATTAAGAAAAACTGTAGGCTCGGTTTCATTAGAAGCACCACCATCATCATCATCACCTTCATTACCACCATCACCATCATAATTAAATAATACTTGATTAATCAGATGAATCTACATATGGGAATGTGAGTATTTTTAGATGATCATATCAATTTTTAACTCCTACCAAATGTTTAAATCCTCTTTGCACTTAATACTTTGCATTTAATACTACTTTGAAAAACTGGCAAAAATGTGGTATTATCTCAGGGATATGATTGACAAGATTATTTGTTAAACTATTAAAAACGAAGCTTGTAAAATATTATGTTTTAGGAAAGAAACAGTCAACCACTATGTATTGTGAAAGAATTCATTTAACTACAAACCAAATAGGGTCTTTTTATAAGCCCTTTAAGGAAAATGAAAATATGAGAGATTTTCCAATCAATACTTAGTGTTTTTGAAAATGCAGAAGACAAATGATTTAGAAGTTCTTTTTCATGAATACTTTACTGGAGAGTCAACAATTTAAATGTTAACATATAAATAACATCTGATAAAATAATAGAAGTACAGACACACTTATTGTTGACCTATTTTAAAATGAAGTTAAATTTCCAAGTGAAGCTTTTCTTCTAGATAATACTTTGAAAATTATTAAGTTGATAGCTAGAACAGAATCTAGCAGGTGAGAAAATAAGCAATGGAATAGTTTACTGTTTACTTTGTTCTGCCCATCTTATATATTTCTAATAAAAAGTAGAAGACTTGTATTAAGGATTAAATTGCTGGAAGAATTGCTTGACAGTCATCGGGGAATGATTTCAAGACAATCACATTTTAGAAATTATCATCTTCATTTCTCCGATGAGTCTAGAAAGAAATAGCTTTAACTATATGTCCATAAAATCTAAAATATAAGCTATGCATGTTGTGTCATCTTAAACATCTTTATGGCTATAGTTTGGACATCTGGGAGATATGACTCAGGATTTCTAACTCTCATCATTTAAAGTTAACTTTAGAGAACATACAAATTCAGAAGCTGACCAAAAAGTTTGTAATTTTCTTTTTCTTCTTACATATCATATATATTAACAAAACATGATGTCAAACATTCTGTGAGCCTTAGTTCACAGGCAATGAGAGTGGAATTGTTGCTAATAAAGTTAATTGTGTGTTTAGGACGGCTTTCTGCAAAGACCATGACTCCAGGTCTGGAAAACAACCTTCGCAGACCCTATCGCCTTCAGATTTCTTGGACAAATTAATGGGAAGGACATCAGGATATGATGCAAGAATCAGGCCAAATTTTAAAGGTAGGTTTCATTTAAATTTATGTTAAGCCTGTGGGAAATCTAGATGTTTGTATAATCTTAAATAAGTTTTAAGGGCTTTTTATAATAAAATAGAAACACGTATAGTATTCATTTCATTTTGGCATTCTTTTGAGCTAGCCAATTTAGTAGTTTAAATTTTATATATTGTTTGCCACTTTTGAAAACTTTCCTCATTTGTGTTCTATTCCACAAAGAAAATTAATGTCAGAGATTATTGGTACATTCCCTATTTTATCTTAAGTGGGAGTGTGAATGGGAATGAATACAAGAGCAAATGATAGATTTGGCTTATATGAGTCTCTTCCAAAATTCATATAAGAGTCAATGATTATTCAAAATTTTGGTTTTCATTTTGAATACCTACTCCCAAAGTGAAGTTTGAATCTCAATATAAAACATGCCATTTTATAGACTTTCAGACCACTCTCATTTTTCAACGTTGTGACAAGAGGCTCTAATTAAATACATCAGAAATTTTTAGTTTCCTTTTTTTAACCATTTTAAATGTTTATCTAAAATTAACAAAGATCATAGCACTCTAAAGTGCACATGTCAAAGACGGTGGATACTTTCTTTGTTCAATTAGAAAGAAACCAAAAACTTTGATGTTCTTGTTTAACATTATAAAAATGTAATTAATCACCTGCAGAAATGAATTTTTATCTTTTTGGTTTATTTTTACTCTAAATAAGAACAAATTATTAATAAATGAATTACTTTTGATGTTTTAATTTTTAAATATGTATTTTAAATGACAATTGTATTTTATCTTATAATTAACATAATGCATTGTTGAGTATTTATATTTTTAAAAGAATTCTATAATATTCTAGATATTATGTTGTAATTCCATTGCTTTGATTTTGCTTATTAGCAATTAAATTGGATTGCTTTCCTTGAGTTTTGTTTAATTTTTATTTTTGGCAAGTATGAGCATGAAAACTAAATTCTAAATTCATTTCTTCTTTAAATGCTATACCTCTGAATATACCCAGCTAAGGGCACATTTTATAAAGAGCTATGTCATCATTTTGACAAAACAAATATTTCTGATTTGTAGAGTATTTACAAAAGAAACAATAGAACTAAATTCAAAGCTCGATTTTCCTGAAATCAATTTTCATGCTCATCCCATTTCATACTAATTTTGTGGTCATTGCTCTGGAAGTCAATATTTGAAATAAAATCCTATGAGTAACAAGCTGAGAATGAGCTTTCAATGGGACTGCTCATTCCTACATTTATTCACTTAGTCAATAACTTCTGAGTCTGAACTATATGGGAAATACCAACTACTGCATGCACTGAAAAGTTGAGAGATGAAACAGGTTTGGGTGCTACCGTCAAAAATTTTAGCAGGGAGAGTAGAGATTACATGAATAGTTATAAATTATAATAATATATGTTATGAGACAGAAATAGTTAAGTAGTAGTTAAGTAACATTAGGAAGTACAGATAAAATGCTACAGGATTCCAACAAATGAAGAGATGATTTCCTATTAGGCTATTCGTGCAAAGTTTCATAGAGAAGGCCCAGATATGGAAAATCATTTCAAGTTTATGAGGGTCTTGTTTGATAGCAGCTATTACTCATTATTTTCTAGAAGTAACTTTTCAAAAGGGGAGAAAAGTACAGAGAATAATAAAACAAACACCCATCTTGCCATTGCTCCTTTAAATGACCAGATAGAAAATGAGCAATCATTTTCACACAGCTTTTTTTCTGGTTCTCCTGGGGATGTCACCCTGTGGAAATGACATTTCTCATGATTCAGGATAAATAAATGCAGAGAATATCAAGTATGGGAAAGCATGGCCATGTTTTTGAGATATTTCCATTGCCTGAAGACCTAAGTACAGGATGTTTTAAAGACTTATAAAAGGGAAATGGGGTAAATATCCTTTAAGACTCTAACATTAATGGACTTTACTGAGTTTTGTCTCCCATTCCCTTTAACTCTCCACCCCAATGAACCCTGATCCTCTTTCATAGATTTTACTTACATGAAACCATTTATATCAGATTAATTACTTAACAGCTCCCACAATTCTCTTTATTCAGAGAATCTTGGCTCTTCCTAGATGTAAAACATTCCTCCAATATTTTAGAGTAAAATAATTTTCACTCCTTGTTCCCATGAAACTTCAGATGTCTAATATGGTTCTTTTGCATATTATGTTTTATCAACCCACCCCATACTGCATCAGAGAGTGCACACACACACACACACACACACACACACACACACACACACACACAATATAGGGAAAAGAAGTCATCTTGTTCTCCGGAATGAGGAAATAAGGACCAAGAAAGAGAGGAAAATATAGATCAGTTATGAAGATTAGTGCCTCCAATTAGTTGTAGTAGATGTTGAGGGTAGGAACTTTTGGGGTACTAACCAGTGGTCACAGTGGCTAGCAAAGATGATCTTAGCTGAGCTGAGGAGAAAGAAATAAAAGAAAGAGAGAACACAGAACTTGTAACAGTGAGGAATTTAGGAAGAACACTATAGTACTTACTGTAACTTACTATAGTCAATTAGCAATGTACCAATGAGAAATTTTATATAGTAGGTAGAAATGAAGGGTGATTAGGAAATGTGACTGTATCCAGAATAGTGGCAGGCACCCTGTAAATGCTAAAACACAATTTGGCTATGATAACAATAAATATGATGATGATGATGATGATGATGATGATGATGTTTAAAAAATAGTAATTAATAAGAAGACAGAAGGGCAAGATATGGCTACAAAAATAAAAGCAAGAGTGAAATATGGGCCATTGAGGTAAACGGAATGGCTTTTCTAGATGTCTTATTAAATATTAGCTCTTCTCTGTTTTCCTTGCTGCCATACATTGGCAAGGGAAAAGGAAATGCATATGCATAATTTTTTTTATTGGAAGGAATCTTTCCTGCATACTTTCAAGTCAGTAAAATATTTCATGTCTATTCCATATCCCTGATGGGCTCTGAAAGATGTCATAATGGGCACATATACAAGAAGGAAAATGGATGTAAGCTAGAAAAGGGGACCAGAAATGAATCAGACTTAGGCTTTGTAATTGAGAGCCATTCTTAGAAACTATAGGGAAGAAAATAGCTTTTCTGATGTACTGAAGCACAAGTGTATAAACAAAGTCATGAGTCAGAGTTGCCAATTGCATTCCATCTATAAGATCCATAGAGAGCTGGGTCAGATCTTGTCAAAACATAAATTTTCAAAATGTTCAGTTCAGATGAAAACACAAGCTATGTCCATTCACAATTACCTGGTTCTAAAACCATGGTAAATATTGATTCTATGTCAACATAGGGGCCACTTTCCCCACTTGGGTGATTTGTCTCATTGTCAGCTGATTTATCATAGTGTTACTCCATCATCCTATCAGATACTCCTTTGTCAGTGTTATTGTATCTTGAGAATGCCACCTTAAACATTAAGCTTTCAAGGAGGCCAAGTAAAATGCTCAAACCTGGGCAAAATGCATTAGCTCTGATTCTGTCTCTTTGAAACAAAGCCTTTATCTATTTTAATGGAATTTTCTTTGAAAATAAAATTAACTTAGAGTTATATCCCAAGTTTCAACCCAATGTGAATAAATACACTCCACTATAGCATTCATTTTGGAATAGGATCTGGAATAGATAATGCCAGGAGATAATTATTCACTCCACTTCTTTGTGCATGCCATGCACACTAATTTTTTTCTATGTCTGGAGACCTAAATTTGAAAGTGTGATGTGTGACATTAAAACCTACATTTGCATGCAATATGGTTTCCTTCATTTTCTAAGGAGTTATCAGCTCAAGAGGTGTTTCAGATACAAGTAGAAATAGATCCACTTTCCAAAAAACTAGAGGTTCAGTTTTCTCCCTTTGGAAATTCTATTTATTGTCTGTAGCCAAGTGGAACTCAAGCTCAAATGTTGTGCTTGCCAATCCCTGTAGGGGGTGGCTTGAGCACAAATGTCCAGCAGGGACATTTGGAAAGGGTGATTCTCTCAGTTAGTGATAATGCAGCCCCAGCATGGTCATTTCTTTGATCACTCTGGTAGATGCAAGCATCAGATGTTACTATAGATTCTGAGAAAAAGAATAGAATGTTTGCAAGTATCAGAAGTATCTGACTTGAGTGCAGGAAGTTGCAGAAAGAGTGCGGCCATTTTAGAACAAGACAATAGGAGATAAAAGGGGAAAAAGAATTATTGAGATGAAAGGCTGGAGGTAACAAAGGGAAATTCATATATCACAGTTTTGTTCAGAAATGATGTTGATGAAGATTTTTGGACATCTGAAATCCATTGGCTGTGTAACAATTCAGCTTTTCTGTGCTGTATGGACATCAACCAATACATCTGTATATACTAGGCTGCTACTGTGGGCCTACAAGGTGCTTGTCTGGGATTTGATGTGACATCAAGAAAGAGATATCTACAATATTCTAATAGACTCTGGCAAAATATATGTTTTCCACTTCATTGGTGAGAGAATAGTATAGTGGAAAGAGTGCTAGATTTGGATTTGGAAAACGCATGTTCATGTCCTTTTTGAGAAAAGGTATCTTCACCTCTCCATGCCTTAGGTTTTCTTCTGCCTTTGCCTATCTCATTTGAGGTCATGCATCTGAATGGTTTGTTTTTAACTATTAAGTTTATTGCAAATAATTTGAATTATTAGTCTCTATTACTAGTCCCTCATTTCTCTTTTGTAACTGACACTAATGATATATTATCAAAGCTAACCCTTTATGGTAGTTGGGCCTCATAGTTGCTTGATTTTTTTGAAAGGTAAAAAAAGCAAGTCAGAGAAGTCCTAGTATTTTAGAGTCCTACTACACTAGTCAGAACATAGATGCCATGTGTCTCAGCTGGTTCTCCTTTTATTCAATTGGTGGGAAGATTTCCAACCTGAAAGAGCTATTTCATATTCCTAAACATGAAACAAAGAAGGAGCCATTTGTGGGAAGGAA